GAGGAAGAAGATCTCCTCCTGGGTTCTCTCTCTCTCTGCCTTTAATACCTGACCTGTGCTCTTTCGCTCAGACCTCCAACATTTAACCGAAGTCTTACGAATGTGCTGAAGGGAGCTTACGAAATGGGTTGTGATAGAACGTGACGTCCTCTCCCCTCCCTCCCCCCATCCCCACCACCCCCACTTCCCCCCCAGGGTGAGTCAGAGGGCGGGCGGGGGGGGGGGGAGTGCGATTCCCTGGGTAAGAACTACGGTTTGTGTGTTTGTGTTATCCCCTGTGGGATTTTATTTTATTCTTTTTTTTTTTGGGGGGGGGGAGAGTTTGTTATGGGAATTTTGTAGGGAGATTTCTGCGTAAGATTTCCTTACACATTTCTTTGAGTGTTGTAAGAATATTATATATATATATATAATATATATATATATATATATATATATATATATATATATATATATGTGTGTGTGTGTGTGTGTGTGTGTGGTGTGTGTGTGTGTGTGTGTGTGTTTTGCATAATGTTTTCCTAAATACGGAATAAAGATATTTAGGGGAAAATTGCATAAGAAAATATTGCTATTGTAGGGAGATTTTTGCGTGAGATTCCCCTAAAATATTTTGACTTTGAGATAGTAAAGAATATTACAAAAAAATGTGCTACATAATGTTTTTTTCTGAATACCAGAGAATAAAAATATATAGGGAAAAATTACATAATATTTCCCTAAATATGAGTTTGTTTAAGGAAATTTAGGTATTACCAAAAAAAAAAAAAAAATAGAAATAGAAATAGAAAATAAGAGAATAGCGGTATTTAGGGAAAAATTACATAATGTGTCTCTCAATCCCACTTATTTTGAGGAAATGACAATACGTAGAGAAATATTACATAATGTTTTGTTATAGGATGTTCTGAGATTGCAAGGCCGTGATGACGTGCAATTTTTTAGATTTCATTGTTTTATTAATTGCTTTTATATAATATGGAAGTCTTTTGATCTATTTTTTTTTTTTTTTTTTTTTTTTTTTTTTTTTTTTTTTTTTTTTTTTGCCTGTGTTGAAATGACTGGATTTTTTTTTCTCTCTATTCATGTGAGATTGATTTGTATGATGATATTATTATATATACTTTGGTAGTTATGTAACTGATAAATGTGTGTGTGTGTGTGTGTGTGTGTGTGTGTGTGTGTGTGTGTGTGTGTGTGTGTGTGTGTGTGTGTGTGTGTGTTTGTGCGTGTATTTGTGCGCGTATATGTGTGTTTGTGTGCGTATATGTGTGTGTATGTGAGTTTGTACGCACATATGCGAGTATGTGTGTTTGTGTGCGTATATGTGTGTATGTGAGTTTGTACGCACATATGCGCTGTATGTTTATTTGTACGTACATGTGTGTGTGTGTGAGTTTGTACGCATATATGCGTATATGTGTGTGTGCGTATATGTTTGTGTGCGTATATGTGTGTGTGCGTATATGTGTGTGTGCGTATATGTTTGTGTGCGTATATGTGTATCTGCGTACTTGTGTGTTTTCGCGTACAGCTGTTATTCCCGAGTGTCAAAGGCTTTGGCGTAGATTGCAAATTAATTAACGAACGTAATCGATACGAGGGCAAAGCGCTGATAGGAAATGTATATAAATCTATATCAAATTTATTTTCTGGAACCTTTACGATAAAACAAACGATATAAATTTTCGATATAAATTTTCGATGATATAATATACGATCCTGAAATATCTCGCAGACTTGAGAAAAAAATAGGCCTTTATATAGTCAAAAGCATTTTTTTTTTTTTTTTTTTTTTGGTAATTTGTCTTTCTGTAAGTCCTTAATTAAGAAAAGAAAAGGCGTTATAAAGAATATCATTTTGAGGAAGATACAAAAGTATTAAAAAATCACCTGTTTTTTTTTTTTTTTTTTTTTTTTTTTTTTTTTTTTTTTTTTTTTTTTTACGAACCGAACAATTTCATCAAACAACTTGATTCCTTTCATTGTTTTATATCAAACTCTGAACGGAAATTAATTCAACCGTTATATAGATGTTCAGTCTCTTCTTCCCTCCCTCCCTTTAATTTATCTATCTATTTTCATGTATTTTGTTTATCTATTGTTTATCTATTTTTGTTTGTTTGTTTGTTTTTGTGTATTGCTGATTTCTTTAACTGTCGCGTTTTTTTTTCTGTCTCTCTTTCGTTTTCTGTGTCTGTCCCTGTCTGTCTCTCTCTCTTTTCTTTTTGCTGCTTCGTCTTTTCTCTTATCTTTTCCATTTTTTCCGTTTTTTTTTCTTTTTCTTTTTCTCTCTTCCCCTTTCTTTTTCTCTTTTTCCATTTTTCCCTTTTCTCTCTTTTTTCCCTTTCTCTTTTCTCTTTTTCCATTTTTCTCTTTTTTTTTTTTCATTTTTCTCTTCTCTTATTCCTCCTCCTTCTTCTTCCTTTCCTCCTTCTTCGCTAACAAACGGCCCGCCAAGAAGACATTATTCAGAGCGATTTAATTTTCCCAAATGAGCCAATTCGTACAGCACATTATAGGGATCATTTCTCTGAGTGAAATTTAAAGAAAAGAGAGGAAAATGCTCCTCCATCTTGCCTCTCCCCTTTCCGTCTTTCTCTCCTTCTCCTCTTCTTCATTCTTTCTTTTTCTTCTCTCTCCTCTCTTCTGTCTCTGTCTGTCTGTCTCTGTTTCTTATTTCTCTCTTTCTCTATCTCGATTTCTGTCTGTCTCTGTCTCTCTGTCTCTCTCTGTCTCTCTCTCTCTCTCTCTCCTCTCTCTCTCTTCTCTCTCTCTCTCTCTCTCTCTCTCTCTCTCTCTCTCTCTCTCTTCTCTTTCTTTCTTTCTTTCTTTCTTCTCTTCTCTCTCTCTCTCTCTCTCTCTCTCTCTCTCTCTCTCTCTCTCTCTCTCTCTCTCTCTCTCTCTCTCTCTCTCTCTTCTCTCTCTCTCTCTCTCTCTCTCTCTCTCTCTCTCTCTCTCTCTCTCTCTCTCTCTCTCATGGTTGGTTTCTCTTCTTCGCTTGTGTAAAATGGAAAAAAAGCACTTTATCTACCTTTCCTTCTCTCTCCTACTCTCCCTCCTCATCCTCCTTCTCTCGTGTGTGTGTGCCTTCGTGTGTGTGCTTCGTGTGTACGTGTGTGTGCTTTGTGTGTACGTGTGTGTGTGCCTTCTTGTGTCTGTGTTCTGTGTGTGTTTGTGTGTCGTGTGTGGTGTGTGTGTGCTTCTGTGTTTGTGTTGTGTGTGTGCTGTGTGTGTGTGTGGTGTTCTGTGTTCTGTGTGTGTTTGTGTGTTCGTGTGTGTGTGTGTGTATGTGTGTGTGTATGCCTTCTGTGTTCTATGTGTGTGCTTGTATATTCGTGTGTGTGTGCGTGTGTGTGTGTGTGTGCCTTGTGTGTTCTGCGTGTGTGCTTGTATATTCGTATGTGTGTGCGTCTCATACCCACTTCCCTGTCATATGCGTTCGTACGGAAGCGTGGGAGGGGGGGGGCGCCCGAGGCAGCGGCGGGGCGCGCGAGTGGCCTGCATTAGCGCCCCGCCGAGTGCCCGGACGCCGGAACCGCCCACGACAACGGTCTCTTCGCCGCCCCCTTCCCGCCCTCGTCACGCCCCCTTCGCCGCCCTTGCACCGCCTCTACGCCGTTCCTTCACATCTTCCGTCACCCCCTCCGTCACCTTGCTGCGCCCCCTTTTCACCTTCGCGCCTCCCCCTTCACCGCCCCTCGCCCCTTCACCGCCCCCCCAGCCTCCGCTCCCTTCCCCCCCTTCACCGCCCCCCCCCCCCCCCTCCTCCTTCTTCACCCATCGCCCCCTCACTCGCCCCCTTCACCGCCCTCACCCCTCAGCCTCCGCCCCCCTTCACGCCCACTCCTCCTCTTCACCGCCCCCATCACCTCGCCCCCCTTCACCGCCCCCTTCACCGCCCACGCCTCCTCCTTCTTCACTCCCATCGCCTCCGTCCCCTTCACCTCGCCCTCGCAGCCTCCACCTCACCCTTCACCGCCACGCGCCCCTCCAGCGCCTGCCCTCGCAGCCTCCGCACAAAAGGCGTCGCCGCAAAAACCCCGGATCCCATCACCCGCCGGAGCCCTCCATTCAGTCCCCGGCGAGGCCCTTGTTTGCCCTTGTTTGCCCTTGTTTGCCCGGTCACAAAGGCGCGGGTTGGTCGCTGCGCTGTGTCTCCTGATGACGCTATCAATATTCACCGTTCTCGCGGATGACCTGGGTGAGGAGGAGGGGGGGGGGTCGAGGGGGAGAGGGGGGTCGGTGGAGGGAGAGGGGGACACCGGTTGGGTCGGGGTCACGGGGATGGTGGGAAGGGGGAGGGGGTGGAAGGGGACGGTGGGAGGGGGGAGGGTGGGTGGGAGGGCGGGAGGAACGGAGGAAGAGGGGGAGAGAAAGGAAGAGGAAGGGGTGGGAGAAGTGGAAGTATGGATTGGAAGAAAGAGAGAGAGATTGAGAGAATAGACATAGGCAGAAATAGAGAAAGAGAGGAGAACGATAGAAAGAAAGAGAAAGTAAAAACCAAATTCCAAAAAAGATCCAGAGACAAATACAATATATACTATATATATATATATATATATTATATATATATATATATATATATATATATATATATATATATATATATATATATATATATATATATATATATATATATATATACAGAAAAAATAAAGAAACATCCAAAACAAACAGATCCTTATATAAAAAATAGAACATCCGACTTTACCCCCAAACATCCACCCTACCCCTCCACCACCAGCACCACCCCCTTCCCTCACCCCCCCTCCACCACCTCCTTCCCCTCATCCCTCCTCCCCCCCCCCCAACTTCCCCTCACCCTCTCAACTTCCCCCTCACCCCCTCAACTTCCCCTCACCCCCCAACTTCCCTCACCCCCTCAACTTCCCTACCCCCTTCCCCTCACCCCCCAACTTCCCCTCACCCCCCAAAAACTTCCCCTCACCCCCCTCCTATCAAACCACTAACCCCCCCTTCTTCTTCCTCTTCCTCAGGTTCGCCGGCAGACAAAGCTGACCTCGAGGTCGGCGATGAGATCCTTGAGGTCAACGGGAAGAGCCTGGAAGACGCCACCCACACGGAGGTCATCTCTCACATACACCAGGTGGGTCTGCTTGTGCTCCTGGTGTTGTGGTTGTGGTTGTGGTTGCGAGGTGGTGTTGGGTGTTCTGGTAGTTGGAGTTGGATGTAGTAACCTCTCCGATCGGGGTTCGATCCCTCGCCGCCGTTGCAAGAGGTTGCAAGACGGTCATCTCAGTCCGCGACACCACAACCCACTCGAAGGAGGATGCAGCCAGTTGTAGTTTGTGGTTGTGGTTTAGTAGAACCAGTGTTAGTTGTAGTTGTGTGTGTTGTGGTTGTGGTCGTAGTAGGAGAGAGTATCATTATTTTTATTGTTGTTGTTGTTATCATTATTATTAGTAGTAGTAATGGTATTATCATTATTATTTTCATTTTTTATCTGTTATTATTATCTTGATTTGTTATCACTATCATTATTATCTTAATTATGTTTATCACTAATGTTATTTAATTTTTTTTAATTATTAATATCTTAATTATCTTTATCACTTATATTATTATCATATTATTATTATTGTTATTGCAATACGTTGCATTCTTGTCTGTAATGACAGCGATGATATCATATAAATATAACGATATCCTGTAGTTTTATTTTTTTTTCTTCAATCGCTTTTCCCATCAAACTGGTCTTAGTCTTTCAATAAAATCAAGTCTCTCGCGATTTTTTGATAACTTTTAATCGCGATTACGCTAGGAAATTCACGACAAAGTTTCTCCTCATCTTAACTTTTGCAGCAAAAAGGGTAAATTACCTCGTGACCCGGCAAGAAATATCGGGTCATAAAAGTAATATAGATTTTAGGGGTAACTCGCCGAAAATTGCCTTTATTAACGATTCGGGTTTTTTGATTCGATTGCAACATCAAACTGCGCGCCGTGATGGGGTTTTCGGTCGACTTGTGGCGTGGGGTTCTGACTGTTTGTTTTGGGTTTCAATTACTGTTTTTTTTATTTTTTTTATTTTTTTTATTTTTTATTTTTTTTTTTTTTAGAGAGAGAGAGAGAGAGAGAGAGAGAGAGAGAGAGAGAGAGAGAGACAGACAGACAGACAGAGACAGAGATGGGATTTATGTAGAAAACTATGATCTTAAGTCGTTCGGTTTTCGGAGGAAGAAATCGTTTCATTTAATGTTATAGGTTAGTGGTTTGTGTATGATAACATAACGATGTATATTAGTGTGTGTACATATATTATATATATATATATATATATATATATAATTATATATATATATATATATTATATATATATATATATATATATAGATCAGATATATAGACAGATAAATATTATATACGTATGCGTATATGAATATGTATGTTATGTATGTGTATATATATTGTATATATATATATATATTATATATTATTATTATGATAATATATATATATGTATTATATGTATATGTATCTATGTTATGCTATATATATATATATATATATATATATATATAATATATTATATATATATAATATATATATATATATACATACTCATACATACATACATACATGTGTGTGTGTGTGCACGTGTGTGTGTGTGTGTGTGTGTATGTATTTATGTATGTATACACATACAATATATAGATAAATGTGTGTTAGGTATTATAAACATATACATGGATCACAACCTACAACGATAGAGATTCGAGCCCTTATCAGAGAAGCTAGATTCCCAATTAGACAGAGACGCCCACACCCTGTATCTCCAGACCAAACTGCATCCACGCGCGCGACAACCGAAGAAGCGATAGATAGATGATAGATTAGAGATAGGAGAGAAGAGGGAGAGGAGAGGAGAGAGAAGAGAGAGAGGGAGAGAGAGAGAGAGAGACAGACAGAGAGGAAGAGAGAAGGAGGAGAGAGAGAGGAGAAGAAGAAAGAAAGAAAAAAAGAAAATGAAGAGAAAAAACGCCATTTTCCCACGTGCAAGCCATAAGCCAGGTCGTAAGTATCAGGTTCAAGAGGCTTAAGATTGTCTTCTTGCCTCTGAGGTGTCTTTCGGCCGCTAAAAGCTTCCTCCCCATTTGGACTTTCCATCAGCCTTCCCCCACCCACCCCCCCACTTCCCCCCCCCGGCAGGCACAATGTACTCGAGAGAACGGCCTCTATCGGATGGTCTTTAAGTCTCTGCTCTCTCTCTTTCTCTTTCTCTTCTTTCTTTCTTTCTTTCTCTTTCTTTTTTTTCTCTCTCTCTTTCTTCACTCTTTCCTCTTTTTTCTTCTCTCCTTTCTTCTTCTTCTCTCTCTCCTCTCTCTCTCTCTTCTCCTCTCCCTCTCTCTCTCTCTCTCTTCCTCTCTCTCTCTCTCTCTCTCTCTTCTCTCAGTGGTCTTTAGTTGTTCGAAACCAGGTCTAAAATCTCGTGGTTTCTTAGTTTTTGTTTCTTGTGCGTTGTGTAGTGTGAGAGAGAGAGAGTATCTTTGTTATAATTATTTATGTTTTTTTTATTGTATGTTATTTTTTAATTATTTTTTATGATAGTGTGTGGGCATAATGTGTGTTTTGTAAAAGTGTATGGCATCTTTTTAATCTTGTAAGGGTATCTTTTTTGTAATAGTGTGTAGGTTCCTTCTTTTGTAAGAGTGTATGGGTATCCCTTTAGTAAAAGCACAAGGGTATCTTTTTGTAACAATATTTAGATACCTCTTTTTAGTATATTTTTTTAGTAATGTTCGACTATCTTTTTTCGTGTTTTTTTTGTGAGCGCGGGTGTGTGTGTTGGGAATCTGAGATTACTAAATCGATAACCTTAAGGGGAACGTACCCAAGAAGATCTCAAATTCCGTATTTCAGTAAAAATTATAAGAAAAAGAAAAAAAAAAAGAAAAAAAAAGAAACACAATAAAACAAAAAAACAGAAAGAACACATAAACACACGAATCAAAGAAAAGAAAGTTCGTAGCATTCGGAAAATCTGTCCAGCCATGAATTATTGTTCATACTTCTATGAATTCAGTTTTTTCTGGTTAAGCAATACTGGTAATAAGGTTGGATCTCCCATATTATATCAAAGGAACTTTCAATTGCATCGAACTTATGGCTCATTTTTTACATATCTTTCTGTGTTATGTATTATTATTTTACCTTTCTATATATATTTTTAAAACTAATATGTTTGTATAATACTAATGTATGGCCCATTACAGCTGAAATAAAGATTTATTATTATTATTTGTTTTATTAATTATTATTTATTATGTTGTTGTTGTTGTATTATTATTATTATTATTATTATTATTATTGATTATTATTATTATTATTATTATTATTATTATTATTATTATTATTATTATTATTATTATTATTATTATTATTATTATTATTATCATCATCATTATTATTATTATATCTTTCCTTCTTTCCATTTACTATAAATACGCACTAAACTTTCTCTTGGCATATGACAACAGAAAAGACAAAAAACGTGGATCATCTGACAGTTTTATCTTCAAAGTGCCATCAATCACATGCAAGAGACAAAGAAGAGAATATAAACAAAGCAATCTAATATATTTAAGGTTTGAAGTCAATTGCCAGATATTCATTTGCGTTAAAACATACGTATACTTAGAAGGGACTCGAACCCAAGTATACTTAGAACCCAAAGTATACTTAGAATATACTTGAATAATACTTATAATATACTTGAATGATAAATAATGAATACGTATACTTAGAAGGGACTCGAACCCAGTATACTTTAGAATATATTGAATTAATACTTAATGATATACTTGAATAATAATAATGAATACGTAACTTAGAAGGGACTCGAACCCAAGTATACTTAGAACCCAAGTATACTTAGAAATATACTTGAATAATACTTATAATATAACTTGATGATGGTATGAATACGTAACTAGTATAATAACTTGAATAGTATACTTAGAATATACTTGAATAATACTTATAATATACTTGAATAATAATAATGAATAGTATACTTAGAAGGGACGACCCGGCGCGAACGTAGAGAGTATACTTAGAAGGGACTCGAACCCAAGTAGAGAGTATACTTAGAAGGGACTCGAACCCAAGTAGAGAGTATACTTAAAGGGGAACTCGAACCCAAGTAGAGAGTATACTTAGAAGGGACTCGAACCCAAGTAGAGAGTATACTTAGAAGGGACTCGACCCCAAGTAAGAGAAGTATAACTTAGAGGAACTCGAACCCAAAACAGAGAGTAAATACTTAGAAGGGACTCGAACCCAAGTAGAGAGTAATACTTAGAAGGGGACTCGAACCCAAGTAGAGAGTATAACTTGAAGGGACTCGACCAAGTAGAGAAGTATACTTAGAAGGAACTCGAACCCAAAGTACAGAGTAATACTTAGAAGGGCTCCGAACCGCAAGTACAGAGTATAGGAACTCGAACCCAAGTAGAGAGTAATACTTTAGAAGGACTCGAACCCAAGTATAGAGTATACTTGGACTCGAACCCAAGTATACGAGTATACTTAGAAAAGGACTCGAACCCAAGGAGTATACTTAGAAGGGACTCGACCCCCAGAGAGTAATACAGATAGTATACTTAGAAGGGACTCGAACCGAAGCAAAGGCAGTCTAGCATACAAGTCGAATCTCTATAATTAGCTAATCCATATACAATAGGCCGGATAAGACAGGATTAAGGGGGTCTATCTCCCCTGACATCCGAAAATAGCTGCCTGATGCGAGAGATTTAGCACTGATGCTTGTGATTGTTCCATGAGTATGTTAGAGTATGCTAATTATGCCGCGTAATGCCGTTATTTGTTCGATACCTGTTTGCTGGCTCTGTGATCTTGTTAGGGAATCGATAGTGGTATGTATATCATGTGTATGTTTATGTGTATGTGGACGAGTATTTATGTACGGTCATGCATTATGTCTGAGCACTTTTTAAATTTATTTTCTTTTTTTATTTACTTTTTTTTTGATGACGTATTTCTTAGTTGGGTTGTAAGTAAACATTTTCTAAGTATTGAATCAGTTTCGATGTTTATGTTTTATGTGAATCATCTGTTTTGATAAGT